CTATTTCACTTGTTCTTTATTTGTTTTAACAATGGGTTGGACTGTACAATCTCCCCCTCCAGACTCATTCACCGGAAGGAGGTAACACTGGGGTTGCTAGTTTGAGTGCATGCCGACAAGTTCTTTGCATAGCTTGAACTTGTCTCTTGGTACCACATTTGTTAGCATATCCAAAGGATTCTCACTTGTATGGATCTTCTTGACCTGCATAGATCCATCCTCTATCTTTTCTCGAATCTAGTGATATCTCACGTCGATATGCTTCGTCCTTGCATGGTACATGGTGTTTTTGCTCAAGTCTATTGCACTTTGACTGTCGCAATAGACTGTATATACCTTCTAGTGCAATCCAAGTTCTTGAAGAAACCGTTTTAGCCATACCATCTCCTTGCCAGCTTCAGTAGCGACAATATACTCTGCTTCAGTTGTAGAGAGTGCGACACACTTCTGCAACTTCGACTGCCAGGATATAGCTCCCCCTGAAAAAGTGAACATGTATCCAGTAATAGATTTACGATTATCAAAATCACCTGCCATATCAGCATTTGTGTAGCCCTTCAAGATTGGATCAGATCCTCCAAAACACAAGCAATCTCCAGTAGTACCTTTAAGGTATCTCAGTATCCACTTGACTTCTTCCCAATGTTCTTTTCTAGGATTTTCAAGGAACCTGCTAAAAACACCAACTGCATGAGCAATATCAGGTTTGGTGCATACCATTGCATACATCAAGCTTCCGACTGCTGAAGAATAAGGAACTCTAGCCATGTTCCCTTTCTCCTCCATTGTTGTAGGACACATCTTCTTGCTCGACTTCGAATGACTAGCAAGAGGTGTGCTGACTGACCTAGCATTCTTCATGTTGAAGCGTTCTAGTACACGTTCAACGTACTTCTCCTGAGACAGCCACAACTTTCTGCTTGTTCGTTATCGAACAATCTTCTTTCCCAGAATTTGTTGTGCTGGGCCTAAGTCCTATATGTCAAAGGACTTAGATAAGTCTCCCTTCAACTTTGCAATCAGCTATTTATCTTGTCCTACAATCAATATGTCATCCACATACAATAATAATATAATAAAGTTGTTATTAGAAAATATTTTAAAGTATACACATGGATCAGAATAGGTCTTTATGATTGTTTGACTTTTCATAAATGAGTCAAACTTCATGTACCACTGCCTTGGTGCCTGCTTCAACCCATAAAGACTCTTATTCAGTTTGCAAACCATATGTTTTCTTTCAGCTACTTTAAATCCTTCTGGCTGCTCTATATAGATTTCTTCTTCCAAATTTTCGTGAAGAAATGCAGTTTTCATATCCAACTGCTCCATTTCAAGATCAAGGCTAGCTTCTAAGCTCAAGATTATACGAATAGAAGTCATTTTGACAACAAGTGAGAAAAATTTCATCAAAATCAATACCTTTCTTCTGTTTGAATCCTATAACCACCAATCGAGCTTTGTATCTGACCAGCTTGCCATTTCCATCTTTCTTGAGTTTAAAGACCCACTTACATTTGAGTGATATTGTACCCTTTGGAAGTTCAACCAGCTTGTACATGCCATTTTTCTGTAGAGATTCCATCTCTTCTTGCATAACTTTCATCCACTGGTTCTTTTTTGGATGGGACAACACCTCTTTAAGACTTTCTGGCTCCCTCTCATCACTGATGATGACATATTTCATGGAAGGGTACTTGCATGACTCTACCCTTGGCCTCTCTGATCTCCTCAGAGGTTGAGGTTGTTCTTCTTCCTGATGGGATACTCCACTTGCTCGACATCATCATCAAGTTGCTCCCCCCTGCTCAGTAACCTCACCAGGTTGCTCTCCCTGCTCGGCAACCTCGTCGGTCGTACTTTCTGCACTTATGGGATAGTTAGAAGAATAAGGAATGGTAACAATGTTAGGGATTATACCATTCTTTGTCTTCTCTAACTGGTCATCTACAGCTCCAACTTCACTTTCTCGAAAGATTACATCTATGCTTCTAATGACCTTCTTCTTTACAGGATCCCACAATCTGTACCCGAACTTTTCATCTTCGTATCCGATAAATATGTAGGGAACGGATCTATCATCCAGCTTTGTTCTCTACTCCTTTGGTACATGTGCAAAAGCTCTGCAATCGAACACTTTTAGATGTGATTAGGACACCTCCTTGTTAGCCCAAACTCTCTCGGGGATGTCAAACTCCAATGGAACTGATGGACTCCTATTGATCAGGTAACAAGTTGTCTGAACTGTTTTACCCCAGAATGACTTAGGCAGTTTAGCCATTCTGAGCATACTTCTCACCTTCTCAACGATGGTGCGGTTCATCCTCTCGGTGACACCATTGTGCTGTGGGGTTCTAGGAACTGTCTTTTCATGTATAATCCCATGACTTGAACAGTACTCTTCAAATTCCCTTGAAGTGTACTCACCTCCATTGTCACTTCGTAGACGTTTTAGCTTTCGACCTGTCTCCCTTTCCACCAGAGCATGAAACTTCTGGAAAACTTGAAGCACCTGATCTTTGGTTTTCAAGACATAAACACACAATTTACGTGAAGCATCATCAATAAAAGTAACAAAATATTTGTTACTGTCCATCGATTTAATTTCCATCGGACCACAAATATCAGAATATACTAAATCAAGAATATTCAATTTTCTTTCAGACGATGTCTGAAATGAGACTCTATGTTGCTTACCAAATAAACAGTAGTCACAAGGTTTTACTGTTGTACCTTTGGCAAAAGAGATGAGTGATTTCCTGGCAAGAATTTGCAATCCCTTCTCGCTCATATGACCCATTCTTTTGTGTCACAAATTTGCAGATATCTCATCTTGTGCCGCGTTCAATTCACCTCGGCATATTTCTGCATTTGTCTTGTACAACATGCCACGAGCAACTCTCTTTGCAATCACCAATGATCCCTTGGTGAGTCTCTACTTTTAATTTGCAAAATAGTTCTCGTACCCATCTCGGTCCAAAGAAATTCCCGAGATCAAGTTCATCCGCAAATCAGGTACATGCCGCACATCCTTTAGAACCAATGTGCATCCGACATTTGTCTTGATACAAATTTCACCAATCCCCGCAATCTTTGAGTAACTTGTGTTACCCATTCTCACACTGCCGAAATCACCTGCTACATATCTGCAAAAATGATCTCTTACCGGTGTGGCATGGTAAGATACCGTTGTGTCAACCACCCATTCCTACTCTGGACCTGCCAAGTGCATGTATTCCTCTTTGTCATTTATGAAGAGAACAACATTGTCATTATTTTACACCATGGTTGTTTGTGTTGTCATCATTCTTCTGGCCACTGCTTTCACCTTTGCCCTTCCTTATATTTGGGCAGTCTCTTTTAAAGTGACCTGGTTGATCGCAATTGTAGCAATTTCTTGCTTTTGACTTGGATCAGTTCTTGGACTTCTTTGATAACTCCTGCCTCTACCTTCAGTGATGAGAGCTTGTCCTTGATTTTCAGGCTTCTTTCTCATCTTCTCATTGGGTAGAAGAGTCGATGTGACGTCTTTCAACTCAATTGTAGTCTTACCATGCAGGATGGTTGTTGCCAAATTATCATACGAAGATGGCAACAAGTTCAACAACAAGATGGCTTTATCTTCTTCCTCGATTTTCACTCTGAGGTTGGCAAGCTGTGTAATTAGTCTGTTAAACACATTTAAATGTGATAAAAAATTCGTACCTTCACTCATGTGTAGGGTGTATAACTGATTCTTCACGTACAATTTATTTGTCAGTGTTTTGGACATGTATATGCTTTTCAACCTTGTCCAAATACCACATGTGGTATCTTCATCAATGATGTTATTTACCACATCATCTGATAAGTGCAACCTGATTGCACTAGCAGCTTTTTCATCCAAGTCAGCCCAATCCTCAGCTTTTATGGGATCAGGATTTTTTGCATCAGCATCTAGTACCTTGTGTAATCCCTGTTAAATGAGCAGATCCCTCATCCTTCTTTGCCATGTTGAGAAGCCGCTATCTCCGTTGAATTTTGCTACCTCGTACTTTACTCCGGACATTTTTTTTTCACTGATTATAGTACTACCGACAATGAATATTATTTCTGTGAACGAGCAGAACCTGTGCTCTGATACCAGTTATTGGGAATAAATACTCATACTAATAATATTCACGGTAATAAAAGCGGAATAATAATATAGCAGTGAGATACGTTAATAAACAAGAATAAGAGTGACAATGACACCAAGATTTTTACGTGGAAAACCCTTCTGAATAAGGGGAAAAAGTACGACCCCGAGATGAGCAACTGATATCACTATAGTAAGGAATTTTACACTTTGTAGGCCCGAGTAAAATACTACAAAAACCACTACAACACTCAAAAGAAATAACTCTATTTTGATATTCCACCTCACTACAATATCGCTCACACTCTCTATTTTCCTCACAGATTATTTTCTTATACCCTATCTGTGATGCCTCATTCTTTCTTTCTCTCTTTGTAGGTGTGTTGAAAGAAGTGAAAGAGCTCTCCTTTTATAGGAGAAAATACGTAGCCTCCAAGAATACTACTGGAGAATTGTTAATTCTCCCCCACAAATTTAATCTTTGGCTCCAAGTCTTTTTGCCAACCTATCTATAGGCACATGTCTATTTCACTTGTTCTTTATTTGTTTTAATAATGGGTTGGATCCCACAAATACTACAAAAGGATACTCATAGGGATATGTTGGTATACATATAAATTACATAATAATTACAGTAATGCAAAATTGTAATATAATAACTAGTGATGCATGAATTATTTTTTCCTGGATATTTAGTATGATGTAGAGGCATTTCTTCCACATTTATTTTCTTCTTCGAAGGTCACATGGACAAAGGGGTATGTTTTAATGCATATATCCACTTGGTTCCACGTAAACGGAAACTACCCCATCAGTTTTGAATTCACATATTTGTCCCTACTTTATCCTTCCCCTCCATCTATAAATACGGATAGCAAGAAGCAAAGTAACATATCAAACAGTTAAAAGAAGAAACTAAACATGTCTCCTTCATTGCCTACTATACTTCTCGTCTCTCTCTTTCTTTTCTGCCAAATATTTTCTTCAATTGCCCAAGTCGCAGTTGACAAAACCTTCAGATACGTCAATGAAGGCCAATTTGGACCTTCTAATATCGAATACGGAGCAAATTACCGTGGTATTTTTGACATTTACACGTATCCATTCTTGTTGTGTTTTTACAACACTACCCCTAATGCCTGGACACTAGCTATGCGCATGGGCAGCGTCCCTGCTAATTCTATCATGCGCTGGGTATGGGAAGCTAATAGGGGTAATCCTGTCAAAGAAAACGCAACCTTCGCTTTAGGAGCAGATGGAAATCTTGTGTTGGCAGATGCTGATGGCCGAATTGCTTGGCAAACGCACACAGCCAATAAGGGTGTCACTGGTTACAAGATATTACCAAATGGCAACTTTGTCCTTCATAACTCAAAGGGAAAATTCATTTGGCAGAGTTTCGATTATCCCACCGACACGCTATTGGTGGGCCAATCGCTCCGCTTGTCAGGCCCGAATAAGCTCGTGAGCCGGGCCTCAGTGAAAAAGAACGCAAACGGGCCTTACAGCTTGGAAGTGAAACCGAAAATATTCGGTATCTATAACAGAACCAAACTTGCCGTGGAATTAGCTTGGTTTGATCTCAGAAATAGCAGCTTAGAATCAGTAAAATTGAACAGCGGAAATCAAAGGTTGAAGTTGGACTACAGATTGGCCAAATCAAAAACGAGAAGTTCTCATGTTATGGCCTTTACGAAATATAACACCACTTTGTCATACCTTCGGCTAGGAATAGATGGAAATCTCAAGGCCTACACTTTCACCGGCGACGAACAAGACGATAAATACTTTTGGCATGAAACTTATAAAAGGATTTAAGAAAACGCCTTTTCATATTCGAATTAAACATAGCTCCCTTTAAGATAAGCATTTCATGTCCAGTACAATAAGTGGATAAAACGAGTGGTTCCGCAGCTGGTCCAATAGATTAGGAATTCCTATATAGAGCTAGAATTTTATTTCCTTTCTTTTACTTTTTTTTTGGTTGAGGGTTGTATTTTGTTATGATTTCTATTTTATTTTTTTCGATTGAAGGGTGTATTTTATTATGTTTTCTATTTAAGATGCTTTGTCAACTGTGAGATCTCGTTGGCTTTGTTAATTTTCTTCTTCATACTACTCTCAAGCATCTGAACCAAGTTCTCTTTTTTCTACTTTGCCCTTGGAAGTTTAGTACAGTAGCCAAACTTCTACAAATTTTGAAGAAGTTTGGGTAAGATCTAAACTTCGTAAATTTCTTGTTCCCTATTCAAAATACCTGAATTTTGTAACATTGATAGATACGTATCTTGTCAATCAAAAAGGTAAGAAACGAATGATTTAATTTGGTCAGCAGAAGCAGACTTAGCACAATATTAGAATTATAAGTAAGGCCTCCAATGAGAATGCAAAAACACTTTGCTATTTTCTTTCACCACTTTTTATGTTCTATAGCGCATACTACATAGTAGGCATGCTAATTAATAAAACGTTCATAAATTTTGAAAGTCAAACATTCCTCATTTCATCTGCACCAATTAAGTACTCTCTTAGTTACACAAACTTGTTTTACCCTCCGACAAACGATTGGACTATCTAGGTACGGTAAAATCGGGGGCAGCGTTTTTTCCAGATTCCCCGATGGGGAGACAAAGGGGAAACACGGCTTGATATGATTGAGGCCCAAGGACCCCTCGTGTCGAAACCTGGAAAGAATGAACGATGTGTCTGAGATCGGGCGCGGTGGAATAACAAACCTCGACCAAGTATAGTTTCTGGACCTCGGAAAACACGAAGAACGGTTATGCATGACGAATAGGGAGCCGGAATATTCTCCCTCAACCGGATATTACGGCGCGAATCCCGTCCGATATCAAGTGTGGGTCGACATTTACCGGAGAAAGAAGATTTTACCTTATTTAGATTTGTATTAGGACTGAAATTCGCCTACTATATAAAGGGGAAGATTTCTTTTATTTCAGACACATTATGAAAAGCAAATCAGAGTAATTCGTTTACTTTTGTCTTCTAGCTATTGTTCAAAGCTTTACAAATTTGTTATTTTCTTCACTCACGACCAACTTTGTACCGAGGGTCCAATTGAGGACGAATTCCATTGTTGAATCTAAGATCAGGCTTGGTCACTGCATTGCGATTGATTTGATTATTTATTTTGTTTTTAACGCATTTAACTGTTGTTCTTGATTATTCGTGTTGAATTAAATCACATATTCTTTAACCGCGTACAAATTTAATTGTTACTAATTTTAGGGGTAAATAGTTTGGGCCCCACCATGGAGTAAAGGATAATAGTGATGATTTGATACGAAACTCTATAACACCCTATTTTACGCTTGTTCTTTGAAATTTTAATTCCAGGTTAGCCTAAGGATGTAAAACTCTCAATCTGTTCACTTGAACGTTGACATTGAGTCAGGCCATCATGGCGAAAATAATAATTTGGTGCCTAGTAATGATGTGCCTCATGCCGATCCGAATTGTGTCCCAGCTGCCAACCCGGTCGATGCTAACTTGTAGGTGGCTATCAACATCAATTTGCCAACTGATACAAAAAATAGTGTTCGCGGGGGCCCTCTACTAGCAGCTCGAGAAAGCTCGAAGGTGAAGACTATGGGTGAGCCTACGACTGATTTTTGAAATGTTGCAGGCTCAACAAGCGGCAATAGCACAACTAGAGAACCAAAGCCACACCCCTCATAGGGTTGAGCCCGAACAATCCTGGGAAAATACTTGGAGAGATGAACAAGTTCTCGTGGAACCGGGTGAAGTAAGTCCCAGATAAACTTCCGAGGTGATGAAGATGCTTGAAGCATTAACAAAATAAGTGGAGTCGGGCGAGAAAAAGATTGAGGTCAACGACAAGAAGGTGGAAACATACAACTCCAGGGTCGATCAACTACCGGGAGCACCTCCGATATTGAATGGATCAGACTCTAAAATGTTTATTCAAAAGCATTTCCCTCCGAGCGCAATACCAAAGCCGATCCTGAAAAGGTTTCAAATGCTCGACATACCCAACTACAATGGGACCACTGATCCAAATGAGCAGGCGACCTCCTATACATACGCGATCAAAGGGAACGACTTGGAAGTTGACGAAATCGAGTCAGTGTTGCTGAAAAAGTTTGGGCAAACTTTTTCTAAGGGGGCAATGATATGGTATCACAACTGCCTCCAAATTGTACTGACTCATTTGTTATGCTCATAGATGCTTTTATGAAGGCCCATGCTGGAGCCATCAAGGTCAAGACCAGAAAGTTAGATCTTTTCAAGGTTAAACAGAGGGAGAATAAGATGTTGAGGGAGTTTGTGTCAAGATTCCAGATGGAACGAATGTGATAGGATACAAGTACCTTGGGCATAAGTACTTTACTTTATATTTTGATGATCTAACAAACTTACCATCCAGAACCAGATAAAGAACCTGTTACACATTTATAAGACCTTGAGATCACAAAGTTCCAGGTTGGGATCCAGTGTGGGATATAACTCTACTCTTCAGAGTGGAAGGAATAGCTGAGGGAACAGGTCCGTACCAGTTCCTGAGGAGACTGTATGAAGTTAACTCTCTAGTAGGAAAGTTGCTACCTGCACACGCTACTGCACAGGAACAGTGCAGCAGTCAACTTTCCATGGAAAGTTTTTTACCTACCTTTCTTACATAATTATAAGTGATGCCACTCAAAGACCGGATCCAAGATTGAAGATATCTTAAGTCCTTAGGTTTGTTGAGTCTTTGTTATTTGTTCTTCATTGTAACTCCTATCTTGCTTTCTGAGAGGCTGTGTTTTAGGAAACTCAAAATCACAAACCCTCTAAGTTTCTGTCTTGGCTAGAGTTAGTCGAGTTGTAAAACCTTTGTAATAGATTTATTACAAAGTGGCTTGTAATAGTGTTATTATAAGTTAGAGTGATTGAAGTCTTTGTAATAGAGTTATTACAAAGTGGCTTGTGGTGAGAGTATCATAAGTTAGTTAAAGCCTTTGTAACTAGAGAGTCACAAAGTAGCTTGTTGTGAGAGTACCACAAGTTAGTTGAGTTGAATCCTTTGTAATAGAGTCATTACAAAGTGTCTTGTAATAGGTGTTTACAAGTTAGTGAAGTTGAAAGCTTACAAGTGTAGGTCGTGGTTTTTGTCCCCTTGAGTGGGGATTTTTCCACGTAAAAATCCTCTGTGTTCTTTACTTACTGCTGAGCTACTATGGGAATAATTAGAGAACCTGATTCCCTATACTGGTTGGTTTTATAGTCCGTTGCTTATAGTGGGAATTTATAGAGAATCTGGTTCTCTATACAGTGGGAACTTATTTTGTGTCTCATTTACATACTGGTTCAGTAGTTAGCATTGTGGAAACTGATATAGGACCAGATCGCTATACAGTTTGGTTCATAAGTATTTTTAGTGGAAACTCATAGAAAACCCGGTTCTTTATACATTCTGATGGATGCTTTTTTAACAGTTGATATCAGAGCAGGTTCTTTCTAAAAGGTTAACACCTAGAAAGGATCTACATGGATGCTCTACCAGACTTAGAGGAAGGTCGATCGACCTACATGCCACCAAGATTTCAGAAAATGGTTAGTAGAAATGGAGGCATTCCCTAGAAGGGTATCTCTAGTAGAAACACTAAAGGATACGATTGTTGTCACAAGTGCAGAAAACCAGGATATTTTATCAAAGATTGTCCTCTCCACATTCAGGTCCATTACAAACACAATGCTGACAAGGTGGGTAAGAGGAACCTAGTCCCCGACAGACAGTTCAAGAGAAGAGATGTCGCTAATAATATTGTAAAGCAAGCTCTGGCTGCCTGGGGAGATTCCTTTAGTGAATCTGTGGGTGATAATGAAAAGCAAGACACCTCCATGATGGCCGTTGAAATCAAAGCTGCAAAATATGATTTCATACTTGCATTAATGGCAAAATCTGATGAGGATGAAGAAGATGATGATGATGAGGTAAACTTCTTTGATGTTCAAAGAAATCTAAAGTATTATTCTTGGAAAAAACTTATGTGTTTGGCTAATGTTTTAATTGATGCGTATCATAGTCTTATAAATGATAAAGATGCCTTAAATGTGGAACTGGGAGAAGCAGAACAATCGAGAGAAGATCTAGAAGTTCGAGTTGTAGATTTAAAAGAAACCATTGAGAGTCTGAAGAAAGAAAAAAGGTTTTAACTGAGAAGGTTGTTAACATTTAGCATGAGAGAGATGACCTATTAGTTGTGGGTGTAGACCTAAAGAAAACAATTGAGGAACTAATAATAGAAAGTAGGCCTGGGAACACTTGAAAAGGAAAGAAGGTTGCAAGTGAGGCATACATTAAGCTTGAAAGTGAGTTAAATTCAGTGAAGTCTAGTCTGTGTCCTGAGCTTGAGAAAAACAAACAACTTCAAGAAGAACTAGGTAGAGTGAAGAGTGATCTTGAAAAATTACTCAAGTGGACCTGGTCCTCTAATGCTATCACTACCTTGTACACAAACAATGGGGGAAATAGGCAGGGAATCGGGTTCCAAAGGGAAAATACTCCCTACAACCCTCATGGCAAGTACATTACTATACCTAACAATTGGCTTTGCACTCACTGTGGCAACACTGGGCACTTTAAAGAAAATTGTAAGGTCAAATTCAGTCTCAACAGAAAAACAAAGTTTTTTCTGAAAAAGTATCTGCTGCTACGGAACCTGGTCCTTCACATAAAAAACGTATAATGCCTACTTGGACTAAAAGGGCCCTCATTCACCCCTTTTCTCATTACAAGGCTCCTGTAAAGTTAAAATTCTGTCATTGCAGAAAAATAAAGTTTTTGTTGAAAAGAGGCGTATTGATGAGGAACCTGGTTCCCAGAAAAGAAAATATGTGTTGCATGCATGGGAAAAAAGAAGTTTGATCCACCCCTTCTATTATTACAAGGGACCCAAACTCGTTCTAGTTCCTAAGTCTAACTCCTGATTTTCTTGTGCAGGGAACAGTGAAAGTGAGCAGCCTATAATGGTACATGGATAACGGCTGCTCAAAGAATATGACTGGAAGAACAAATGATTTCTTTTCACTTAAGGCCCTGCAAGGAGAAAGTGTACC